TTTTTTTTTTTTTTTTTTTTTTTTAGTTTAAATAAGGGAGAAAGCACTCATAAGATCACCATCCCCAAACCAAGCCTGATCAACACTTGGACATGATTCTAATCATCTCTCTATGTATACTTTTTACAAAGTTGAGCTCATGTACTGTATGAAATTCTTTTGTTTATACTTTCTCACTTAATATTATTAAAGTATCTTCCCTGGGTATGAAATAGTCTTCATAAAGATTTTATATGACCATGTAACAAGCCATCTTATGTCTGTGCAATATAGATTAAAATGTCTAACAATTAAGAAAGTTCATCTTTGATTTCTTTTACTGGGAGACTTTTGTACTTTATAAGAGGAATTTAGCATATTGGTTTACGTTGTGAGGTTTGGACTTAGGCTTGGATTCAAACCCGTCTTCCCCACTTAACTAGCAATGTGACTTTAGGCAAACATCTATTTCTTCATCCTTAGTGTGGAGATAATACTCTCTACTTAACAGGCTGATTGTTGCTATCAAATTGGATAGCACATAGGAAGTGCCTAGTGAGTAAAGTCTCAATACATGAAAGCTGCTGCCTGTTGTTACTATTAATACTGCTACCATCACTACCAAGTTTTCAGCCAAAGGGGCAAATTTCTAATGATGAAATTTCAGCTATCACTGACCTAGGTTAGGGGATCTATTTGTAAAGGCAGTGGATACTTTCTCTAGTGCCTGTGAAATCATGTGGGTAGCCACCTGTTATTTTGGTCAGGGCCTGTCCCTGTCCCTTTGTCTCTCTGTTGACTTGTCTTTGGTAGCACCTCCATGCTACCCACACCCACCTCTGCTGAGCCCTCATTCCTCTCTTGTGCCTAGGGAGGCCAATGAGACATAAGTACAGGAAGCATTAACAATGCAAGGCAGTATATAGAGCCACGGACGTCAGCACTGAAATGGTCCTAGGAGAATCTTTAGTTTAATTGACTGCCCCTGACCCCATTCCTGCCCTTGCACAGATGAGGGAAACTAAAACCCGGAAAAGGGATAAGAGTTATCCAAGATTGTAGATTGAGGCAGTTACAGTGCTAGGCTTGGAACCCAGTGTTCTTTATTGTTCCCTTAACTTGCCTCTGCAATTATCTACCAGTGCTGTGGATAATCCAGCCTGTAGATCAGAGGTGAGAAGAGAATGCTGTAGGCTGGAGCTGGCCAGTGTAGGTGGTAAAGACTTCCTGAAAGAACTACAGTCAGCACTTGCTTCCTCTTGGTAGTAGGCTAATTTGCATTCTTGTTTGCTCCTTGGTAAACATTGTTCTGTGGCTATCTTTTTTCAATAAGCTGGTTGGGAGCAGGGGCTGGGTTATTGCTTGATTGTGTCAATATTCCCCCTTCTTCTCCACCAGTATCTAACTTGCTCAGGTTCTTAGCATCTTAGTTTCTTCCTCTATGGTTGGACAGAGACACGTGTCCCAGTCTCTACTGAGCACAGAGCCAGATGACTAACCTGCCTCCTTTGATCTTGTCCTAGATCAGTGTGCGTGTAACCACCATGGATGCAGAGCTGGAGTTTGCCATCCAGCCCAACACCACTGGCAAGCAGTTGTTTGACCAGGTAAGGGAGGGATTTGTTGCTCCTTAGCCTCCTACCCTTCTCCCAATAAGTCTAACCACAATGCCAACCATCCAGGCCTTCTGCCTCTTGTTAGAGCTCTTTTCCTACTCTCTCCTCCAAGATAGATCAAGGAAAAGGCTGACCCCAGCCTTAGTAAAAAAAGCAAAGTTTAGCTTTGGCAACCTGCACCCTCATAACCCTGATTAATCCTATCCTTGTTCCTGAACAAGGGTGAAAAGAGAAGGGGGGTATTATCCTGTGCTAGGTGCTCTAAAAACATTAGCCCATGCCATCTTCCTTTCAGCTTTGAAGGATGTAAATGATCTCTTCTCCATTTTAATGATGAAGCTCAGAAGTTAAATAACTTAATTTTACCTAGCTGATATCTGGCTGAGATTTTAACTGCACAGTACCACACAGCCTCTGTCACATTTTTTTTTTTTTTGCTTCCTAGTAGAAGGAAACCAACTTATTCTCCCTAGGGTACTGAGCTCTATGAACTCACTTGAACACCGGAACACTATGAACACTGGAGGTGATGCATGCAGTAAGAGTGTGCTTCATCTCCTGTAGGCATGCCGTAGAGTTAATTGGTTACTCTCCATCAATGAAATGGTCATTCCCATCTCGAACCCAGGGAATCACTATCTTTAGAAAGGATGTGCTATATAATACAAGGTATCTTCAAAAAGTTTGTGGAAAGATTCTCATTATCTTTTAATTCTGTTTTTCTACAAATTTTTGAAGCACCCTTATATAATAGCCAGGTGGGCCTACAGAACCTTTCAGCATTCAAATACTGCCCAGAGGCCAAAGCAATGTGCCATCCATGGCCAGACTTCCAGGAGTGAAAATGAGGCTCCCGTTTCCAGAGTCTGGGACCCCACCAGATGGGCTATTATCCTATTTTCCCATCAGCCTCTGGTGAGGTGGGAGTCTGATTTATTGTCCAAGATGTTGGGGCTGCATATCACCTTGGTGGATTCTTAGGCCCTCTTGCTTCCCTTTCTCCCTTGCTCTCCGGGTCCCTCAGATATGAGAACTTACCCAAGGTTGGGGAAGGAAAGGAAGAAAGAAGAAGGTTGTGTTCAAATGGGATAATTTTATTCCTGTGAATACTCCTGCCTGGTGAGAGGAAAGACAAGGGGAGAATGGAGATGGGGGTGGGAGGGGGTTGTTTTCCATTCAGGTCTCCATGTAAAAGGAAGAAAGGAATGGCTAGAAAACTCGAGGACATCTTGGGCTTGCCCTCTGAGTTCCTGATATCACATAAAGTGGGAAAATGGTTATTTGCGATTAATACAGGTGAAAGTTAACAGTTGTCTGGGGTTTACTGTATGCCAGGTACTGACAAGTACTTGACTATCACAAAGCCCTGTGAGTGCAGGAATTAGTACTGGCCTCATTTTACAAATGAGGAAACGACATCCTTGTTTTCCTAGCTAGACCTTTGGAAAATTATTGAACCTCTCTTGGTTGGTATTCTCAACCAAAAAAAAAAAAAAAAAAAAAAAAAAAAAAAAGAAGGTCTAACACCTACCTCAGGCTTTTTGTGAGGTTATGAAAGAGTGTAGTATTATTTGTATCTTGCCTGTTACTCAAAATTTTGGTGCAGTGGCATATAAGGGAGCATGATCCAAAAAAGATAATTTAGAAATACTTGAAAAAGACAAAAGAAATACAAATAGGAAAAAGAATGTTAGGTAAAACATCCAGCGTGTAGTAGAGATGTAATAAATGATAGCTCCCTAATAGTACCATGATGCTTCTTGTCTCATGAATGAGCTAGAGTTGGGAGATGGGCTTGATGATTCTGAGAATATCTAACTTTGGATTTAGCTGGAAATTGCTTCTTTCCTGGAGTTTGTTTCATTTTGGATGGTGAAGGGTAGTCATTGATATTTAGTTTGTGAAAACATATTAGTCTGAGGAATATTTAAATACACATTTACTACAATTAAAGTAATGTGCTAACATTCACATAGCTCACAAGTGATTACAGTGCTAGTCTGGAATGACTGGACGTATTTTGGTTATTTTAAGATTTTGCATTCTCCCTTTGTGTGGAGGTTCTATATTGGCGAGCTTTTAAAGGGACAGCCTGGCGAAGTTGAAAGGGCAGTCAGAAATCTTGGGCTCTAGTGCTGGCTGTCACTAACTCTCCATGATTCCTTACACAAACTGAGGCCCCTCTTTGGGCCTCAGTTTCTCCGTCTGTACAGTATCCAACTGATCTCTAAAATCTGGTTATCTCAAAAATTTATCTCTGGCACTTATTTCTGTATTCCATATTTCTTTCTCTCCCATTTCTTTCTTTCTTTCTTTCTTTTTGATTTGTCATTTAACATTGGAAACTCTCCTGTTTCTATTCCCACTATTTGGATTTCAAGCAACATTTTTCTGTAAAAAGGAGGGAAATGCCTCACTTGAGTATGATCAGCTGTGAGCATATGTGGTCAGGGGCGGGGACAGGGCTAGCTGGCAGGGGGAGATGCCTCTTCCTGGACAGGCTTCTTACAGTCTCTGGGACAAAAGGGAAGAGGTGACCACACAGGCTTTTGGGCCCTCTGTTTCAGACAGCAATATCATTCTGGGCTATAGAGGGGAAGGGTCAGTCAGCGTGAATTTTATGGTCCAGTTGGGAGCCTGAGGCTCCTTTGGCCCCTTCCTACCCTTCTTCCCAGAGCCCTGATTCTACTCGCTCCCCCTCCCGAACCAAATGATGCCATCCCCTGCCCTCAACACTGGGGGCTTTGTCCCTTTGCACTGTAGGGGGATGACTGTGGAGGGCAAGGAAGGCATGATTTAGAGTCTGGGGCAGAAAAATCCTGAAACAAAGAGGTTTATTAAACTTCAAAAAACTAGAAGGCCTGCTAATTCTTAGTGTTGGTTTGTTTTGCATACTGTGGGTGTGGTTCTGAGGGAAGCCCAGATGGTAGGGAGCCCTGGCCAGATTTGTGTGCTCGTTCTGAAAGCTACTGCTTCCCAAAGCCCCTGAGAGACTTGAGTCTTTTGTGCTGGTTGGGGAGACGAAAAGGAGGAAAACAGAAAGTTCATGACTTCCTATCCAGAATATCAACGTTATCTTGAGAAGTATCATTTACTGAGCACCTACTATGGACTATCCCTGGCTTGGTGCTTTAATCCTCATGATGATCTTGCCTCCGAGAAGTGAAAGAACATACCCTAAGTCATGTAGAAAGTAAGTTGTGATATGGAGTTTTGAATACAGCTCTGATTGCAGAGCTCTATACTTTTCTCCCACTGCACTACTCTGCTTTGGATGAATGATGATGTTTAGCTTGGAGAAGACTCAAGGAAGATGTGTTCTCTGTCTTCAGACCTCTGTGGGGCTGTTTTAGGAGGGGGCAGTCATGTTCTGTGAATTCAGAAGGGAAAGAGCTGGGACCCCATAGATGAAAATTATAAGGGAAAAGATTTGAGCTCAAGACAACGAATTGAGCATCTGGCTCTCTTGAGCCCAAGGCAAGTCATACGAGAGTCCATAGGGGTATGTGTTCACAGGCAATTAGGGGATGTGAGCTCTTCCCGCTCTCTAACTTGATGAGGCATAAGGGAGGAAGTCCATTCTGTCTGTCCCTTGAGACCCATCATTTAAGGAGGCCCTCCTGGTGGAGCTGGGGCCTGGGGAAAAGGAGCTGGACCCCTTGGGAGGAATTGACAAAAGCTGTGGGGCCATCCTGGAACCCAGCAGTCATCTGGCTGATGCCTGGAGAGGAAGCACCCTCCTTGGCACCAGTGATAAATAACAGGCAACAATGGGAAGACATAGCTTGATGAGGCCCAAGGCCAGGTGAGAAAGGGAAGTGGGGCCCACAGTTCTTCCTTTTACCTCTGTTTCTTTTTGTAAGTGTGCTTACAGCTAGGGAGGAGAGAGCATGTTTTGCTATAGCGATTCTGTCATTTGTCTCAACCTCTAAAGTCTGAGATTCTTCAAAGGGCTTTTGATCTTAGATTACCTAGGTGCCACTAAGGGGCAGTGCTGCCACTGTGAGTCCCACTTTGAGAACCCTCTGCCTGGCTTTTCCCTAGCCAGGGTCTTTAGCTCTAGCTATAGTCTATCTCTACCTGCCCCCTCCCCTCAAGGTCTTTGAGCTCTAGGAGAGAGGTGAAATTGCAGAGCATCCATTCATTCATCTATTCATTGACCCATTTAATATTCACTGAAGGTCTACCCTGTCAAACACTATCTCTGCCCCTTTAAGAATCTTGGAGTTCCTTATTTATAGAGGCATAGAAAAGCACATACAACTCCTCCTACAAAGAATGAAAGAAACACCCTTGAGGCTCAGGTTGCATGGGGTGGTGTATAGATCACAGGATTTGGAGTCAGCCCTGAGTTCAAATTCTGTCCTGCTACTTAGCTGTGTGACCTTGGATGGCTCATTTAGCCTCTCAGAACTTTCCTTTCCTCAGTAAAATGGTAATCATGCTAATCTCAGGGATTTTGTGATTTAATCCTCAAACAAGTAAAGTGACTGGTGCATAGCAAGCATTCTAATGTTGGTTGTTCTTATTAAAGGCTAAATAAGTAGGTGGAAATTTCCCTGGGAGATAGGATGAGGGAGCCATGAAATCCGAAAGCTTTTCTGCCTCAGTAAATTACGTAGGACTTGGGGACTGCATTGAGGACAGCAAACTTTCCTTTTCTTTTTTCTGTTTTGATTTTATAAAATAACTAACGTCTATTGTTGTAATAGTAGTGTTCCCATCTTACAGATGAGGAACTGAGGCTTAGATAAGGGAAACGATCAATTTAAGGTCACATGGCTCGGAAGTGGTATAGCTGGGGCTTGAACCAGGGCATAAAGTATTTTCAGTTTTCCCAGTGCTTTTTGTCAGCTGTGTTCTCTGACACCACTCCACCCACCTCAGCCTGCTTCCAAAAATAGAACCCCAGCTGAATGTGTTCTCTGCCATAAAGCAGGTGGCCACTTGAGCATGGGCAATGTGGAGTAACAGAAGCAGTAATGGTGGCAGCTCCTCTTGGAGCTTTCTAGTTGTGCATTGATTTGCTTTCAGATGAGTGATTGATGCAGCTGCTGCCAGGCCTGTAGTGGGATCTTGGTGGGCCTCAGGTGTTTGGGCACAGATGCAGTTTAGCACATAATGCTAAACTTTCTCACACAGTTCCCTTGAGGTTCCCAGCTTCCAGTCCTGCTCTGGGCTTCTGAAGTGGCTGATGTCAATACTTTGTTTACTAAGATAGATGCATGGGGGATAGAAGGAGGGAGGCTCTGGGCTCCTGAACTGATCTGATCTCCTTTCCCCTCTGCAGACCTCAGACACAGGCAGCCTCCACATGCAAGAAAGGTAAAGGGGATTCTTTCTTACATCTAGAAGTTTCTGGTAGTTAGTGAGGATTTTCTCAGAAGCAAATCTCTTCCACTCGCTGGACCACAGTTTTCCGGTTTATGTTGCTTGAGCCCTATAACTCTCCACAGTCTTTTTTGGGGATTTGTGTTGTGAGGCTATGGGGCTGGATAGAATCCGCAGCCTCCAGTTTCTTAAGTCAGTGTCTTACAAACTAAAGTTCTAGTCCCTCTAGGTGTGTGTGGCAGGTTCTAGGAGGGGCACAAAGCTGTGGGATAAATGTGATTTAGTAGCTTGGAACACCAGTTTTATCTGTAATAATAAAAATATTCATTATTTAAGTAGAATATAAAAGTTGCACAAATTAAGACTAAACCTGAGGCTTCAAAAAATTCTGGCTGGTTTGCAGCCATGTACTTTATTATCTTCCCCCACCCCATCCCACCTCACCCCCTGCATCCACTGGGTATATACATTCATTATTTCTGCTGCTTAAGGATTTCTTTCGTGGCAGCTTTGAAAAATGCTGGCTCATATCAGATGAGCTGCCTGTCTGGGGTCAAAGGGAACGAAGAAAGAATTTTTTTTCTCAGGGATGGAGCCATTTCTCAGAGAAGCATAATAAGGAGCCTAGTCACTGGAGCCAGAGTTTATTCCTGGAACTGGGAGCTAGATGCTTCTCTCCCACTTGAAAATGAGGTTTCTCTTTCCTCTGGAGTAGAGGGTTCAGCTAGAAACAAAGCTAGAAGGGAGCAAAACTTGGCTCCATTTACACCTCATGGGACTCGGAAATGGGGCCGTGAGTTGCCTAATCAAATGGTTCCCAGCACCCCATAGACCTTAATTGGAGATTTCCTTGTATCCTGGGCTCAGGGGTCATCCGTTTTGTACCTTGTTCTTTTTCAGTCTCAATTCTGACTTTAGACAATGTCCCCCGCCCCCCCCCCCCCCCTCCTCACTGAGACTTCAGTGCAGACTAAGAGACATTGCTCATCTCTCCAAGTCCTAGAGCCTAAGGATGTGGAAAATTTATGTTTCTGATTTTGCTATGTTTACAAAGAAACAGGCAGTGCTCAGAGAGATCAAAACCCACCACTGATCCCGAAATCTTTCTTTTGACATTGCTTTAGCTATTACTTTGTCCAACTTCTTGTCAGAACTACTCTGGATTGAGAGCTACTTTGTTCCCCATGATCCTCCTCTCATCACACCCCTACCCACTCCACTAGTAACACAGACAACATGGTTCAAAAAGAGGCTCATGAGCTTACTCCTGTGACCTCTGGGACTGACTGCACAAATCTGCGTTTGCCTCTCTTCCCTTCAGTCCCGGGGTTTCTGAGCCTCTACAACTGGCCCATTTGTACAGGCAAAACCCAGTTGCTCCTCTACCAGTTCTGTTCCCAGTCTTCTCCCCCCATCTCCACCAACGAGCTAGCATCCTGGTCCCAATGGTCCATCTTCAGGGGGTCTCTATCTCTTTCTGTCAGCTGGATTGTTTCTTAAGACTTGCTTCTTCCCACCAATTGCATCTGGACACACTATTCTTCTGCAGGCCTGTGGAGGATCATGAGAGCCATTAATTGTGCCCTATATTAGATCTAGAATGAAATAAGAGGTGCTTTAAAAAAATCTTTTTTGGCCACATCCACCCCCTCCATCCTCTGTAAAAAGCCAGTATCACATTTTAGCATAAGCATTCACATTTCTCCATCCAAACTTGCTGGCAGTTCAGTCTTAAGGGTGTGGGCATTACTTCCAATTGCTAAGGATAAAGGACAATATGGGAGCAACCCAGAAGAATGAATGCAGGAATTAATCCAACAGTCTCTACTTTCAGCCTTTAATCCATTCTGAGAGCAGGAAGTTGTGTGGCATTGTAGAGGGAAGGGGGAGGTGGCAGAAAGCACTGGATCTGGATGGATTCGGAGTCAAACAGACCTGGTTGCAATCCTGACTCTGCCTTGAACCTCGGTCTAATCATTTCACTTCTCTGAACCTCTCTTTCACTATCTATAAAACGGGCCTACTTGTATTTATATCATGGGGCTATTGTGAAGATTAAAAGAGATAATGGACATAGGGTTCTTGATGTGTGGCAGTACTCACAAGTAATAGATACCTTCCCTACCTCAGCAGAAGTACTTTGTGCAAACAGAGGCTGACATAGTTCTAGACTGCTGCCCAATCGTGGTTTTTTTTTTTTGCCAGATTCTGAGCACCTTAAACCCTTTAAGGGCAGAGACCATTTTGGCTCTACCTTTGTGTCTTCTGTGCCTGACATAGGGTAGGTATTCAATCAATGGTTGTTTTGTGTTTTGTCTTCCAGGTGGTGAAAACTATTGGCCTGAGGGAAGTTTGGTTCTTTGGTCTACAGTACCAGGACACTAAGGGTTTCTCCACTTGGCTGAAACTCAATAAGAAGGTAACTGCTAACTCCCCCATTGGGTTTGGAATTCATTCCTACACCAGAACTTCCTCAGGAGCATAACATGTGCTAACTGGCAAACCCAGGGTAGCAAGGGCTGTGTTTGACACTGGATGCTCTGTTTGCTACCTGGATCAGAATAAGACCAGAAGATTCAGCCAAGGCGAGCTCTTGCTGTGTCTCTACTTTGACTTCTAACAATGAGAATGGCCAGTGTCCAGGGGAAGAAGACACCCTTCTTTTCCCACTGGGAACCCTGTCTTGAACTTTGACTTGTTAGGGACCAAAGCCATTTGTGATTCTTTTTTTTAAAGAAAATGAAATTTTATTAATATTATTTTTTACATTCTAGGATGTTGTTGCAGAGCAGTTGGGAGGGAGGGGGAGAGGGGAAAGGGGAAGGAAATGGGATGGAAGAAGGAGGGAGGAGGAGGGATGGGATTGAGGCCTGTGGCACCCCCCTCATTCCCATAGGGGAGACTGGGGGGCTTCCAGTGGTGGCTTGGTCATTGCCGGGCTGGGTGCAGATGTCAGGGGGGTGTTGAAAAGCCCTTGCCCTTCCACCGTCCTAGTTCAGGAACCTGGGGCCCTTCTTGCTGCAGCTTGGTGGTTGTCACTGGGCTGGTTGCACATGTTGGGGGGTGCGTGGCCGAGGCCCAAGGCCCCCCACTGCCCCTGCTCAGGAGAGCCTGGGTGCTTCCTGTGGCGGCTTGGTGGTCATCACTGGGCTGGTTGCATGTGTCGGGGATGGGGTGTGTGGCTGAGTCCCTATTTGTGATTCTTAAAGAGGGGATCTGTGTCCTTTTCTTCTTTGCAAACTCCAGGGCTCTGGAGATTTGTTAACAAGAGAGCCACAGACTCTTGAACTGGAAAAAAGTCTTAAAGATCTCAGGCTTATGCTGCCCCTCCTGCACCAGTCAACTGATGCCTCCCAGTTTCTTGATCTTTTACCTCAGTTGGACTCCAAATGGGATGATTTGATTTTATTCAAGCTCTCTGCCCCAAGTAGCATCTCTGTAGGGACCTGGCAGTCCTCTATCTCAATATCTTCAAACTGGCTGACTTTATCCTTAGAGGTGTCCATACCATCCTGTGTCTTGTTTCCTTGATTGTGCCTAGGGAATGGGTACCCCACCTTCTGCTGGTACAGTCTTGTTTTCTCAAAGAGTTGAAACTTGCTGGACAAATGTAGAGCCATTAGGAGCAGATTTCAAGCTTGAAAAGATTGTCTGGTTTGTGCTTTTGCTTAGCCAGTTCCCAGTCCTGTCATATATCCTAGTCTTTACTTTGCTAATTTTTGGAGTTGGAGGAGCCATAAAAGAAGAGCTTCTTAAGCCCACCTTCAGAATTTGGGGACAGTTGGATACATGTCAGATAATGGCAGCTTGAAGGCTTCTGACTGTCAGTGGGTATTAGATAACTTCAGGAAGAAACTCACGACAGGAAGTGATTATGGACATGGGACTGGGTCAACAATGAAAGTAATGTGTCCCTTTTCTGAATTACCAGCTCTGTGGGTTTACCCAAGTTGATGACCTTTTAGTGTCTTCTCCCCACCCTACAGCCACTCCATCCCTAAAGCCTATTTTTTGAGAGCCCATAACCCTTTGCTGTTCACAGGTGACTGCCCAGGATGTGCGGAAGGAAAGCCCTCTGCTCTTCAAGTTCCGGGCCAAGTTCTACCCTGAGGATGTATCTGAGGAATTGATCCAGGACATCACCCAGCGCCTGTTCTTTCTGCAAGTGAAGGAGGGCATTCTCAATGATGATATGTATTGCCCGCCTGAGACTGCTGTGCTGCTGGCCTCCTATGCTGTCCAGTCCAAATATGGCGACTTCAATAAAGAGGTGCACAAGTCTGGCTACCTGGCCGGAGACAAGTTGCTGCCACAGAGGTGAGGTGCTGCCCCAGTCCTCTGCCCTGGCCAGAATAGGCTACAGCCCAAGGCTGAACAATCCCTGCTCCACAGGGGCTGCCAGATCTGTTCCTCTCCACTAGGGTATGTCTGTAGACTGTTTTATGCTGCTCAGAGAGAGACATTTATTTTTTCTTTTTCTTTCTTTTTTTTTTTTTTAAAAGATGACCGGTAAGGAGATCTGAACCCTTGACTTGGTGTTGTCAGCACCACGCTCTCCCAAGTGAGCAAACCGGCCATCCCTATACAGGGATCTGAACCTGTGGCCTTGGTGTTATCAGCACCACACTCTCCCACGTGAGCCATGGGCCAGCCCCAGAGACACGTTTACGTATAGCGTCATATCCTGTTTCTCTTGCTCTCAAAATAAAAAGCTCTTTTTCCTCTTCTGTCTGCCTGTTGCAGAACTTTATTATCCTGGAGGCAGGTGCTTATATAGAACCAGAGATGGCTCAGTTTTTTTTTCCTTCTCCCTGGTTCCATTTTCTTAATCCTTTCCACTGATTTAGACCTCTTATATCAATGCTCACGGCAGAGGGAAAGAAATACGCAAACCAGGAACATGGAGCTCAAATAGTCTTATAATATTGATAACCAGTGTACAAAGCTTGCTGCTTTTGTAAATTTCAAAGTTGAAAGCTCTCAAACACTCATTTTGTTTTGTTTTGATTTAGCATCATGACAATACACAAAATGAATAAGGCAGGCATTATTCTTATCTTCTGGATAAGGAAATTGAGGTGCAGAGGTGCTTGCACTGACTCGCTCCATCTCGCACAGCTCATTTGAGGCAGAGCCAGATCTAGAGCCCTAGCTTCTTGATTTTCTTTTAACCCTAGGTTTGTTTCCCACTGCATCCAATGGCCATTTTCATAGGCTTTTGGATTAGAAGGAAAAGCTCTGCCTCATTCTGAGAGTCCCAGTCCCATTGGAGCTGTGGCATGGGCACAGCCCACTAGAAGGTATTAGGCATAATGGTTGTGCCCTGGGACTCTATCTGAGTTATTTCCATGATGTCTGATAGCATGTTTAAAGCAAGCCTTGTTTACAGTCTAGTAGATCTGGGAAGCTGGGCCTATTAGTTTCTCCCAAAGCCATTTGGGCTTAGTTCTCTGTTCTGTAGCCAAAGGCTGTCCTCTCATCCCTGAGAAATATTCTTACAAACACAAACTCTTGGCCCCAAGAGGATTTAGGAGAGAATATGCCTGTCTCCTTGAGACCCATCCTTACTCTTAGCCCCTTACGTTGGCACAGATTCCTGATACATTGCTGCTGTGCTTGGGGATCACAGCACACTATTGGATTTTCTGGTTAAAGGTACAGAGGAAGGTGTAACCATTGTCTTTTTGATCATCCATTCTTGTAGCTCTCATACTTCTCAGGCAGTTTCTTATGTTTAATTTAATACCTTCCTGCTGTAATTTCAGTCTGTTTTCAGTGTGAACTCAGTGGACCAAATCCACATCCTGTTTGCATCAAAAGAGAGCTAAGTGGGTTTCCTTTCCCTCCTGCACATGGGCTTTGTGCTTTAAACTACTTATGAACCCTTGTCTTTCCAGAGTCCTGGAGCAGCATAAACTCAACAAGGACCAGTGGGAGGAGCGGATCCAGGTGTGGCATGAAGAACACCGGGGCATGCTCAGGTAAGCCCTTCCTAGCAACTCTGGGCTCCACTGCCCTTACAGGGAGAAGAGGCAGATGAGTAGGGACATTGGTGGATGCTGGAGAAAGAGACAGGGATGATGCTGGTACTTAAACATGAAAGGCAAACCAGGACCATTATAAGGGGCTGTTTTCATTTGTTTGTTTTGGTGAATGGTGATAACTGGTAGCTCAAACAGTTTTGGCCATAAAGAATTGGAAGGGACCTCAGCATCCTCAGGGAGCTTCTAGGTCACCAAAGCCTCCTCCCCAAGAAGGAAATAGGGAAGGAGATCTCTAAACATGGCAAAGTATGTAGGGATTGTCTAGTTGAGAAACAAATTTCATCATTTTGCCATCACTACTTTATCTGAGTTCTGCTAAGAACATGCCTGTATAAGAGGGTGTCATAATGAATAGAAGGAAGAAAATTGCTTCAATAGCAGCTAACATGCCAGAGGCCAGCAAAAGTCAACCCACTCTTATACCCCTTAGGAGCCTCCAACTTTAGGTTCCTGTCAACAGATTTTGCTTGGCAAAAGCCATATTATGCTCTGTTCTCCAACATCTGCTCTCCTTCTGTCCCCTTTCTGACTTTTGATGGCATGATCCTTGTCAAAAATAGAGTAAGCAGGCATTCTGTCTCACTGGGTCTGATTCATAGGCTCCCCTCTGTGATCCCCCACTCTGTGTCATTTAGGGAGGATGCTGTCCTGGAATATCTGAAGATTGCTCAAGACCTGGAGATGTATGGTGTGAACTACTTTAGCATCAAGAACAAGAAAGGCTCAGAGCTGTGGCTGGGGGTGGATGCCCTGGGTCTCAACATCTATGAGCAGATTGACAGGTATACCTTAGACCTCTCTTAGTTAATTTAAGCCACTCTGACACCTAGGGCTTACCCCTCACCATAGAGCAGGACTATACCTCTTGGGTCCCACCTTAGTTCTTTTCTACCTAATTTAGTCTGGCCCAGATGATTGCACAGCCTCACTCAGGACTCTAAATCCTGGATTGGCTACACGTGCACTGTCCACTATGGTAGCCAGTAGCTACATGTGGCTATTAAACTCTTGACATGCGGCCACTTTGAATTGAGATGTGCTGTAAGTGTAAACTACACGCTGAACTTTGAAGGCTTAGTGTGAAAAACAGAATGTAAAATGTCTCATGAACATTTTTAAAAATATTGATTTATATGTTCAAATGATAGTATTTTAGATATACTGGGTTAAAATGTTATTATAATGAATTCCACCTATTCCTTTTTACTTATTTTCATGTGGCTATGAGAAAACTTAAAATTATATTTCTCTTGGACAGTGCTGGCCTAGAATCTACCTTGTCAGGATTTGTAATTAGTCCCAAGTCTTATGTGATGATTAAGTGGCTTTGGTCTATAATCCTCTCACTGTAGCATTATCTCATTTTCTTATTTTTTTCCTTTGGTCTGCTCTTGGTGAAGGCAGAGATCAATAGATTATTGTTTCATATAACCTTTGAATCTTGGAGCTCATTATTTACCTTCTTCCCATTTATACAACCTTAGATAGAAGAGTCTCACTTAAATAGGGCTGGGGATTCTCTTGAGGTTCATGCCTCAATCGAAAATACAACAAGACAAACCTCAGAGTTTAGGACAAGGAATAATATGTTGGTTGTGTTATCAGGAGGTCCTTTGTGTATCTTCAGTGCTGGCAACTGACCTGGTAGCATGTGATGACGCTGGCTGAACTGGCACCGAGTCTACCTTCTCAAGGGAGAAATTTGGGGGTTGGGGGAGGGCAAGGCACCAGCTCTCTATGTCCTTCTTGTCTTGCCCTTGTCCTGATGTTGTTCGTCTCCACTTCCACAGACTGACTCCTAAGATAGGCTTCCCCTGGAGTGAAATCAGGAACATCTCTTTCAATGATAAGAAATTTGTCATCAAGCCTATTGACAAAAAAGCTCCGGTGAGTGACCCCTTCCTCTGGCCAAGACAGGTTCTTGCCAAGGCCTGGATAATGCTAGAAGGAATTTTGTCATTGTATTTTTTGTTCCTTTTTCTGATGTGTGTGTGTGTGCACGTGTGTGAACAGGAGACATAAATGGAGATTGGGGATGGAAGAGAAGGAGATGTCAATGCCAAGAAATGGCCAAGAGGCATTCTGTACGTGATGCCTCCGTTACCTGTGTCTCAGGTGCCATCCTGCTACCTGTCTCCCTTAGTATGGATAAGGAAGAGTCACAGGCAGTCTTAAGTGCTGCTCCATAGCCATTGTCTTGTGCTGTCCTGAGGCTCCGGTGTGGAAACATCTGAGTGCATCTCATTTTTTCAAGCCCCTGGGCCCCAGAAAGTAGACACTGTTCTTGTACTTGACTTATCTTTAATTCTAGAGAAAGTGCAGAGCCAGGAGAAATCCATATCCAAAGATGATCCTCTGAACTTGCTTTTTGGTATAACTGCTACTGTCCTCTCAGACCTCTCTAGAGCAACCCAAGACCAAGAAAGTGCTTTGGGTCCAGTTATTCCTCTAATATGCTCACCACACTTCTCACTCAGTTGCCTACTGCTGACAGGACCAGAAAGCTGGTGATTGAGGGTAGGATAGAAAACTGAGATGAGGGTCTACTCTTATGGTGTATCACATGTCCAACAAGGGCCAATGGCTAGGCTGAGCCTGACCCTTTTTTTGAGGGCTCAGTCATTCTTCTCCAGCCCTGAAGTGCCTGACTTTTCTCTGCTAGGTACTTTACATATGTTGTATCTTTAAACCCTCAATAACATGGTCAGGTAGGTAGTAGCATACCTATTTTATTGCTGATAAAATTGAGGTTCAGAAAGATGAGTTACAAAGTTACAAAGATGAGTCACAGAGTTAAAAATGGTATTGCTGGGATTTGTATCTAGGTTATTTGACCATGAGATCCTGCACTCCTTTCACCACACCCCAAGCTATGTGAGATGGTAACAGTTTGAGTTCAGCGACAAGAGGATGTGGTGGTTAGCATATCAGCTAGTGACCTTGGTCCAGTGTTATTTGTAGTAACAAAGTCAAACTCACTGGATTTTCTTGTGTGTGTGTGTGTGTGTGTGTGTGTGTTTTATTGCTGCTGTACTCAACTTTCTTCAGAAAAAGGTAAGTAATAAGGCCAGCTGAGATCAAGGGTTTATTTAAAAAACAACAACCAGGACAATCAATGTTTGGCAGCTTTATGTATTTGCAGACTGCCTTGTTTCAAAAAGGATTTAAGGGCTTGGATCTAGGATATGCTTTCAGGAGATTACAGAAACAGTCCAGCTACCCTTATCGCACTCACCAGGGTATTATGCAGGGATTATTTGTCTTCTAAAAGAGACCCCCGACACCCAGCAGTATCCCTAATTAAATTAGCAGAGAAAGACAGTTCCGATTCTTCAACTGTATAGAGGGTATTTTAGGATGCTTTTCATAAGCAAGTGTTGAAAGAAATTGTAGTTTGGTGGAAAGAACACTGGTTTCAGAGTCAAGAAGCCTTGGATCTGCCACTAACTTGCCATCTGACCCTGGGCAAGTCACTTTATCGCTCCGATAATTAGTTTTACCATCAGTAATGCAAAGGATTGGATTAAATAATCTTTCCAGTGCTTTTTGACTTAGCTTTTCAGGGGGCAGAAGTTTACCTTCACCTGTTCCTGCAAACTTTTCAGTTGCTATTTTCCCACCAGGACTTTGTCTTCTATGCTCCCCGGCTGCGGATTAACAAGCGGATCTTGGCCCTGTGCATGGGGAACCATGAGCTGTACATGCGCCGCCGCAAGCCTGACACCATTGAGGTGCAGCAGATGAAGGCACAGGCACGGGAGGATAAGCACCAGAAACAGATGGAGCGGTAGGTACTGCAGAGCTGGAGTGGGGGCCAGGACTGGGGCAAGGAAGCTTCTCCAAGGCACCTGGCCTGCTAAGGTGGGACATGAAGCCAACCCAGGAGTGGGAGGAAGGGAGCTGTGCAGAAATGGTACCCTCCTCCATTCAGTCTTGGGCATCCCCATTTTTGAGAAACAGGCATCAGAAGCCTAGGATTTCAGAGGCTTATAGGAGGGAGGGGCATTTTATAGTACCCCATTGTCTGTGACCCATATGTCATCACTGTGCTAGGGGAACTCTGGGTGGCTACAGGTTAACTGACTGATACTAAGCAGTATCAACATTAACTTGGGAAATTGTTCGAAAGGCAGAATCTGAGACCCTGCCCCAGACCAACTGATTCAGGATCTGCATCTTAAGATCCCAGGTGATTGTTTCTCCAAAGAAGATATGCAAGTGGCTTGCAGACACATGACAACATCCTTAGTCAATAGGGAAATGCAGATCAAAACCACAATGAGGTACCACTTCATACACAGTGGTATGTATATAGTAAATAAAAATGGAAAATAACAAGTGTTGGCAAGGTTGTACAGAAATTGGAACTCATATACATTGCTGATGGGAACATAAGATGGTTCAGCCACTGTGGGAAACAGTGTAGCAATTCCTCAAAAAGTTAAACATATGATCACATAATTCCACTCCTAGCTATGTACCCAAAAGTATTGTAAACAGGTGTTCAAATAAGTACATGTACACACGTTTATAGCAGCACTATTCACAATAGTCAAAAAGTAGAGGCAGCTCAAATGTCTCTCAATGGATAAACAAATTGTGTATACATACAGTAGAGTATTATTCAGTCATAATGAGTAATGAAGTACTGATATATGCTGCAACATGCATGAACCTTTCAAACATTATGCTAAGTGAAAGAAGCCAGTCACAAAGGGTCACATATTGTATGATTTCATTTATATGAAATATCCAGACTAAAAAATTCTATAGAAACAGTATAAATTGGTGGTCGTCAGGGGCTGAGGTGGGGAAGGGAGATAGGGAGAAACTGCTTAATGAGTATGGGGTTTTAGTTTGGAGTGATGAAAATGTTTTGGAACTAGATAAAGGTGGTGGTCGCATATCATTGTGAATATACTAAATACCACTGAATTGTTTACTTTAAAATAGTTAATTTTATGTTATATGAATTTCACTTTAATAAATTATTTAAAAAGAGATCCCAGGTGATTCCTATGCATGTTAAAGTTTGAAGAGCACTGCTATAGGTCCTCTGCATAAAGAGTTTCAGACCGTGAGAGTCTTCTAATCTAGTAGGCTGGAAAAAGACCACATATATGAGAGGTTAGATACCAAGGTTCAGGTTTATTCAGAAAAAAAATTACCAAGGTTGTTGGGGGCAGTTTACAAAGGTGTATCTGGCAAGGATCTGCTCTCTAGGACCTTGCAGTCTAGTAGGAGAGAGAGGAAAAACAATATATATGTAACTCAAGGTACAAAAGCTATGTCATTCAGTCACGTAACTATTTATTGAGCAGAAACAAACAAACAAAAACAAACAAAACAAAAACAAAAAACAGACCAAAAATCCCCACTGTCATGAAGCTATCATTCTAATGGGAGGAAACAGACATAATAAATAAGCCAATTATATAGTATGTGAGATGATAAGAAGTGCTATGGAGAAAAATAACAAGGAAGAGGAAGGGAGAGAAAGGTAGGCTAAGTATTCTGAGGGCTCAGAGGGAGAACAGACATGTAGCCAAGGGAGACAAGAAGGCTTCCTGGAAGAGGTGCTGGAGCAAGAAAAATCAAATACATTTCCAGATTTGCAACACGTTCTGGAAAAAAGGACCCTAGAGCTGGGCTTTAGGACATGCGGAGTTAGAAATGAGAACTGAAGCCCTAGCTGAAGAGATCACCAAGATTTTAAGTGCAGCATCTCAGCACAGAGCCAAAACTTGTCTCCCTATTACTCCATGAGGTAGACAGGGCAGGGCGTATTAAGCTGTTTTATAGACAGGAGAACTGAGGACAAGAGCAAAGCAGCCACATAGCTAAGGTTGCCCAGTGGATTAGTGGCAGAGCTGTGATTTATTTGGGTTTTCTGACTCGGGCAAGCTGACTGGGCCCTGAGCACACCAGCCCATGTGGGGCTATGATGTGAGGACAGGAATGTAGAGGTGAGGGAGGGTGGTGCAGGCTCACAACCCCTGGGTGTGTTGGAAGGGTGGAGGCTGAGGGACCCAGGGCCACGGAGCCTTGGGAATCCCCAGGCTTCCATGCAGCCTTGTTATCCTGTTCTATCCTTCCCTTCTCTGTCCCTAGTGCTTTGCTGGAAAATGAGAAGAAGAAGCGTGAGATGGCAGAAAAAGAGAAGGAGAAGATTGAACGGGAGAAGGAGGAATTGATGGAGAGGCTGAAACAGATCGAGGAACAGACTAAGAAGGCTCAGCAAGGTGAGTGTTAAGTGAGTTGTAAGTCAGGGTTCTCCAGACAGAATCAATAGGATATGTTAGAAATGATATGTGAGGGATTTATCAGGGGAATTAGCTCATGCAATTATGAAGAAAAGTCCCACGATAGGCTGTCTGTAAACTGGATACTGGTAGTGTGGCTCAGTCCAAGTCCGAAGGCCTCAAAACCTTCATCCTGGAACCCAAAAGCTGAAGAGTCTCAAGCTCTGATGTCCACAGACAGGAGAGAAGAGTGTATCCCAGCTCCAACGGATAGAGATTCACCTTTTCCCACTGCCTTTTGTTCTCTCCAGACCCCTAGCAGATTGGATGGTTCCCACCCACATTGAGGGTGGGTCTTTCCCACCCAGTCCACTCAGACTCTCTTACTAATCTCTGCTGGAAACACCCTCACAGACACACCTAGAAAGATTGCTTTACCAGGTTTCTCAGCATTCCTGGAGTCACCTTGGAGATTGGGTTTCCCTGGACTCTATGAGCTGGAGACCCTTCTGCCTGAGCTCAGACTCAGCCCATATAGTCAGGTGTGACCACAGAATAAGTGATTAATGGGGCAAGAAGAAGAGTGCTGAGAACCTTCTGCCAGCTGTGTCCTGGGGTGGGCATTTTCAGGAAGGAAGCTAGTGTGTTGTCTTCATCTCTGTGCTCTTTGCTGCCGTCTTCCCTCTTCTACTACTCAGAACTGGAAGAACAGACCCGCAGGGCCCTGGAACTTGAGCAGGAACGGAAGCGTGCCCAGAGTGAGGCCGAAAAGCTGGCCAAAGAGCGTCAGGAAGCCGAAGAGGCCAAGGAGGCCCTTCTGCAGGCCTCCCGGGACCAGAAGAAGAACCAGGAACAGCTGGTAAAGCTGCAGGACAGGCTGGGGTTGTGGGGCCTGAGTTTTTTCCCTTGTCTATCTGTTTATAGCTACCTCTGCCTATAGGGCTTGCTCTTTCCAGTAGGCTAGTAGGCTACAGGCCTCTTAGCAGATAGCTCATTCAGAAGCAAGCTGGGAAGTCACTGGTGTGGCCCAGAAACCTTTGCAAACAGTCTTCCCTAACCCTTGGTTTTTATTCACTTTCTTAACCCCTGGGGATCTGAGCTGATGACCTGGCAAAGGAAAGGGAAGGAGGAAAGAAGTAATGGGACTCACACTTAATTCAGTGTGTGTTGCTATGCTAGGAATAGTTCCCTTTCCCTTACTTTCTTACTTACTTTTCCTAGTAAACTTATGGGATCAACTCCATATGGATTAATATGCCAAGATAAGGAAATTAGAGCTCAGAGATGTTAAGAGACTTGCCAAAGTTCACACGTTAATTGCTGAATAAGGATTAGAACCCATTTCTACCTATGTTTGAAGAGTTTGCTCCCTGAAATCACACACAAAATTGTGTGTCTATGCATTTCTTTGAGGGGTGGGATAGGCATCCATACTTTCATGACAATTTCCAAGGGTTCTGTGACTCAGAAGTTAAGAACCTGTGGCCCCAATTCATTGACATATGCTCTTCCCCTGTACTGTTTGGGGTGTGATTAGAGGGAACTAAGTCCTATCTCTTAGGAAGAAGCCATCATGGAAGATTTACACAAGGTGTTAGGATGTATATAAATGTTTTTCCCTTGTTCAGATTTCCTTGTGACATTTGAGTGTCTTTCCTGTACTTGTCATGGGAAGAGTCTTAGTGGAGCCTTGAGCATTTTAGGATAGCAGAGAAAGGTCTGCCAGATCAGGCAGTGACTCAGTGATCTCCAGAGCTTTACTGAGGCCCCAACTGCATACTTGGCAATACTGGGAGGGGGGGGGGGAGAAAGAGGGTAAGAAGGAGAGATATGAGGAAGGGACAGAGATGACTTGTTGTTTATCTTTAGGAGACCTGTGGTCTAGTTGGGGAACTGTGACTTATAAAGAAGTGGTGGGTGGGGGAAGATGGGACTGGAGTGGTCTGGTTAAAAAAAAAAAAAAAAAGTCTCCAGGACAGCAAGGAAGTGGAACAGCAGGTTCCCTACAGGTTCCCCAGGGGAACTGGGGTTGAAGACATCTGGGCACTGAAGACTAGAAGGCCCAGCTCTCACAGGCTTCCAATTTATCCATAGGCCTTGGAAATGGCGGAGCTGACAGCTCGGATCTCCCAGCTGGAGATGGCCCGACAGAAGAAGGAGAATGAGGCTGTGGAATGGCAGCAGAAGGTAGGACACAGTGTCCAGAGCAAAGCATTGTGGGAAGGGGTACCACATGCATAGGTTCCAGCTCTTTAGGTTTCTTAGGTTTGGGCTCCCCCCCCCTTATATACTTCCTTGACAGTAGACATCATGGGATAAGGTGCTCAAAGTTTTCTCAGATACCTCCCAGAATTCTCCAGTACCTCTGGGAAATTGGTACCATCGTTCCTATATTATAGCTGAGGAAACTAAGGGTCAGGCAGATGAAGTGGTTTGTCCTACCTGGTGCCTGCTTCCTGCTAGACTGTTTTAGACATGCACATGATGCTACAAGTTACCTGGTCTGACTGTCAGCTTTTCTCTCCTTTTGTCACTGGACAGGCCCAGATGGTACAGGAAGACTTGGAGAAGACCCGTGCTGAGCTGAAGACTGCCATGAGTACACCTCATGTGGCAGAGCCTGCCGAGAATGAGCAGGATGAGCAGGATGAGAATGGGGCAGAAGCCAGTGCTGACCTGCGGGCCGACGCTATGGCCAAGGACCGCAGTGAGGAGGAACGTACCACTGAGGCAGAGAAGAATGAGCGTGTGCAGAAGCACCTGAAGGTATCCAGGCAGGGCCAAAGGGTCTAGGAGACCATGTGTGTTAGCTTAATAGCCCATGGCCTTCCCTAGACCACCATGGGGAGGATATGTATAGGAGCCTGTCCCAGTGCGGAATGGGAGCCTGAGCCTTTCTCAAGTGAAAGCTTTAAGGGTAGGTACCTCAGTAGAAGTTAGTGTTTTTCTTTTTTTTTGAGAGGAAGGAAGACAGTGATTGGTGACTTCTGGGTTGCTGCTAATGTCCTCTTCGTTAATCTTGGGTGGGTTACTTGACTGAGCTGAACACTTATACGTTGTTCTCTAGTAATTGCAATTAAATAATTATTTTAAAAAAATGGTAGGTACCTCTTGCTTATTAATTAGACCCTGGGTCACCTGTTTTCTTTTTGAGATTTGCTCTGTGCCCCACCTCCCACCCCTACTCTATTCACCTCTTCCATTTTGGAAATACTTAGCTGACAAAATTCCTACCTGAATCTTTGGTACATTGTTGTACTCTCAGAGGATGCCCATCATCAGTTGGTCCCCTACGTTTTTTTTTTTTTTTTTTTTTTTTTTTTTTTTTTTTTTTTTTTTTTTTTAATTCTTGTCCCCTTGCAGTCTTAACAGGGTTGAAAATGGCTCTCTCTCTCTTTCTCTCTATGTACACGCGCATGCACGCTCACACACACACACACACACACACACACACACACACACACACGAGGGCATTTCAAAAAGTTCATGGAAAGATTTCTATTATCTTTCAATTCTATTTTTCCAAAAACTTTTTGAAGTTCTCTCATGTGTGTGTGTGTATGTGTATATATTATATCTGTGTGTGTAGAGAGAAGGGAATGGAAGAGAAAGGAAAAGAGAAAAAGAAAAATCTGGTCAAATAAAGGGAGGTAAAATGAGGAAACCATTGATCCTTTTATTCCCTTGCACCCTCGCAGGCCCTCACTTCAGAGCTGGCCAATGCCCGTGATGAGTCCAAGAAGACCACCAATGACATGATCCATGCTGAGAACATGCGACTGGGCCGAGACAAATACAAGACCCTGCGCCAGATCCGGCAGGGCAACACCAAGCAGCGCATTGATGAGTTTGAGTCCATGTAATAGGCACCCAGCCTTTAGGAACCCCTCCTCCCTTTGTTCCTTGCCCCTACACTCCTACACCCTTGTCTGACTCACACTGTGCTGGAGCCACTAACTAGAGCAGCCCTGGAATCATGCCAAGCATTCAGTGCAGCCATGGGACCAAACCTAGCCCCTCAGTCCTCATTCACTTCCTTGGGCAGATAAATGGCCCACTGTGGTGCCAATGCAATCCCCTTTGCTCTCTCTGTCCCATTTAGTCTAGCTTGCTAGAATAGGCCACTTCCCAAGCTCTGAGCCTCTTCCCACTTGATTTGGCAAACACCACACTTACTGTTGTCCTACAAGAGTCATGCGCAGAGTAGGTTGAATGCTAGCCAACCCCCCCCCCCCCCCCCCCCCCCCCCCCCTATTCCAGAGGTGCCCACTCTATACCCAGAGGAAAGGAAAGTTCTTATCTCTGAAGACACAGGGACACAGAGAAGAATCTGAACAAACGGGGCTAGCTAGGCCCCCCTATTTACTACCATTAGATTACACCCTCTTTGTTCAAGCGTACTTCTGTACGACTGTCCACACTTCATCAAATATAAGCATAAAAACATATGTTTCCCTGTTTCTTTGGGTCATCATTTCTGAAGGTTCCTGTGTCACATAAAACTTATATTAAATAAATTTGTATGCTTTTTTCTTGCTAACATGTCTTTTGTTATAGATATCTCAGCCATGAACCTAGCAATGGATGAGAGATATTGCTTTTTCTTCCCTATAGGACCTTACCAAATTGGCAATCACAGGGTTTAGGAAAGGAGGCAGGATTCCGGATATCAGCTGTAGGATGTCGGCTGACATAGGACTTGCCCTCCCAGTGCCTATCCATTTTAGAATTATTTAGGCTTTGTAATGATTGGAGGATAAAGAGATGTTTAGTCATTCTTGTTTCTACCTCCCAGATTGGGCCTGTTACAAACTCAGTCTCAATAAGCCTTGTTCTGAGTTCAGGGACTCAGTTTCTCTCCAGGGTGGGATGAGGGAGACAGTGCTTTAAAGAGGCTTCACCAAAATCCTAGAAGGCCATTGGCCCTCCTATTCAGGCAAAGCTGGGCAGAAGATCCTGCCCCAGTGCGTTACATTACCCTAGGCCTGTCTTAAGTGAGCTCTGGGCAGAGATACCCCCTACTTATTATTCCAGGTCCCTGATCCCTTTTTGGGATCTGCCCCTCCCCCTACAATCCCCAAATCCTCTCCAGCTAGAAGAGTAGGGATGAGTAAGTAGCCAAAGGCTCAGCCAGCCCCATCCGGGATTCTTGCCAAAAGGGAGGAAATGTTCACACCTGGCTTCAGTATTTTCTCTGCCAGCGGTTCTGGGCCACTTCCCCCATAGAGCTATTTGGGCCACAGATACTGCTTCTCAGCCATCTGGGCCTTGGTATGGTGAGCCCCAGAGCTTGATGCCAGTAAGCTCAATTGGGAGTGGGTCAAAGAAGCTGAGTGTGGTGAGAGAAGCCCGTGCCCATGATCCTGCAGTTTATTCAACCCTCTCAGGTGCCCAAAAGCCCCTTCCCATCACCCCCTCCAAGGTGGCTATGCCTCTGTTTGACAAGCCTCTAACCCAGGTCTTACCACCAGCTGTGCTGTCCCTTGGAGCTGTAAATCAGAGAGCTGCTGAGGATTCTGGCCTGGTCCCTTAGACACCCCTATCACTTGTTCTGAACCCCAGGAGCAGCCTTTTTCTCTCTGTCTCATGTGTGCTCTTTTTCTTACTACCAGTATTATATATTCTAGTGATGTATAACTCAATATTGATTTCTGCCTTTCTTGCTAATGCACCATTAGAAAATGTTAGTCTTGGGGCAGGATCATTTTGGCCTCATTCCTTTGCCACCCCATACCTGGGAAGCATATACTATATTATAAAAGGATATTTTGCCTGAAACATTAATGTAAGAAGCTTTCAGTATTAGCGATGTCACCTGTCAGTATAGGTCATACAATCCATTCTTAAAGTACTTGGTATTTGGTTTTATTGTTTCTGTTTTCTTTCTCCTCAGAGTTCAGTCCCCAAGGGGCCATTCTGTCCCTCCATGCAGTGTCCCTAGCCCAGAGCCTCCCTCAATCCCCCTTCCACCTGACCTTGGGGAGTCTTGTGTGCATTGCTGTGAATTATATTGACACTGACTTGGCAACATGCCCTATATTGGCTAAATTCAAACCTGGAATTGTGGGACAATTTGGCTGTATTAAGGGTTGGTAACCCACCTCCAGGGAGGTTGAGGAGAAAGGTTAGATTTTGTATTCAGGGTTTTTTGTGCGTGTATTTTTTTTTTCTTAATTTTTTTTTGGAGGGGTTTATGCTCAACCCATGTTCTATTTCAGTGCCAATAAAATTTAGGAAGACTTCACTGTGACTCAGTCTTTCTTTGCGGTGTGGGTGGGTGGCTGTAAGATATTTTACTGTAATTTCTACTTTATAGACCACCTTTCTATCATTGAACTCATGTCCTCTTCACTTCAGTTGTAGGGGGAAAGAGGATATGACTATCCCCATTTTATACAGGAGGGAATGGACCCCCAAAAGTAGAATAAATGCCCTAAGTCACAGGACTTTCTGACTAAATAACCTATGCTCTTTCTACAGCTCCAGGTCAACTTTTCTAGTCTTGGTGTGGGCCTTGCATTGACCATCCTGTACTTGCTTGGCATTGGCACCAAAGGGCTACTGATTTGTATCTCTGGACTCCTCATGGGGTGCGTGGGTCCTGTCCTGCCTCCATATCGGGAAGGCCTCTAGGTTTGCCATATGCTATAGATTGGATGCTCCCCCAACCTCATTGAAGTTTAAATCACCACTGTAACTGTTGAGGGTAGGAAATCCCATTATGGAAATTGAAAGGTGGGGTCTTGAAAAGGTGATTAGGTTGTGGGACCATGACCTAGTGAATGGATTTTAATAAATGCGGTTGTAGGTGTGGTTCTGAGGGCTTTAAAGGAAGAGCGCATGAGAAGTTCTCTCTCTCTGTTCCACCATTTCTGCTGTGAGACCACTACATTGCTGAAAACTACCACCAAAGAAGACCCTCACCAGCTGTGTTCCCTGGACTTTGGACTTCCCAACCTTGGAAACTGTAAGCAGTAAATTTCATTTTCTTATAAATTACTCAGTTCCAGGTATTTTGTTATAAGCAACAGAAATGGACTTCCTACTACCCTCACTTATTGCAGTGCCGATAAAGGTCAGGAAAACTACCTTAGGCCCTGTTGCAGAAGGCAGTGCTGAATGGCATGCGTAGTGAGGATGGAGAATGTATTTATTTACAAAAGCTATTGGATGGTACTTTATAGTTTATTCAACATGTCAATATTGTTGCCTGCATATGGTTATCCTCATTTTGTGTCCCGACCCGTGGGATATTCAACGAGGAACCTGGAGGGGGGAGTGGGAATGGGATGGAACAAGAGACACGAGAAATGAAGACAAGACAGTATTCTGATCAAGTCTCATTTATTAGCCAGAAGGTCACAGTTTATATAGACAGCAGGAGGGAATCAGCAGATAATTAAGTATGCAGATGGTTTACTGAGAAAACCACAGGGTGGGTTGTTCCGGTAAATGGAAAATTCCCATTATCTATGGCAAGTTGTAAAGTTACCTACACCCATAGTGCACAGGAGGGGGAGGGACAGAAGATAACAGCAAACAAGGCTCTGAGGCCTTGAGGCAATAGCTGGGTGGGCTCTTTGGCTCCAGACAGGCAAGCAGGCTCTTAGGCAACAGCCGGGCTCTATGGCTCCGGACAATTTTGTAGATGAGAAAACTGAGTCCCAGGTAAGCTGTCGAGGCTATCCTGGACTTGGCATTCTCACCAGTTCCCTTCTTGGTGAACCAACATTTGCAAGGAAAAGTAATTTATCATATATTCTGTGTGAGCTTTTTTTAAAAAAAAAATTATTTATTTTTTATTGGAACGTAGTTGATTGTACATATCCGTGGAGTACAGCATTGAATATCAATACCTGTGTGCAATATGTGATGCTCAAATCAGGATAATTAAGTATATTTAACATCGTATAATGTAATTGATTTTTGTGACCCTTTACCAATTCGTCCCCTTACCTCCTTAGTCCTTCCCGTTTCCCACCTCTGGTAACTTCGGTTCTGTTGTTTTGAAAGGTTTTTTTCCTGTTTTTGAACACATTATTGTGATTGTTCTTTCTTTCTCTCTCTCTCTCTCTCTCTCTCTCTCTCTCTCTCTCTCTCTCTCTCTCTCTCTCTCTCTCTCTCTCTCTCTCTTCTTTCTTTCTTCTCCCACTTAAAAATGAGGGCATGTAGTATTTCTCTTTCTGTGCCTGTCTATTAGTTCAGTAAACATAATTGTCTCTAAGTTCATCCATGTTGCTGTGAATGGCAGAATTTCATTCGTTTTTATGGCAGAGTAGTATTCCATTGTGTAAATATACCACATTTTCCTTATCCAGTCATCCAATGATGGACATTTAGGTTGGTTCTAACTCTTGATTATTGTAAATAGAGCTGAGGTAAACATGGGAGTGCAGGTATCCCTCTGACATGATGATTTCCCTTCCTTTAGGTATATACCCAACAGTAGAATTGCTGGATCATATGACAGTTCTATTTGTAGTTGTTTCAAGGATCTCCATACCATTTTCCATAATAGCTTCACTAATTTACAGTCCTACCAACAGTATAGGAGGGTTCCCCTTTCTCTGCATCCTCACCGGCATTTATTATTCTGTCTTTCTGATAGTGGCCAGTCTAATGGGGTGAGATGATACCTCAATGTGGTTTTGATTTGCATTTCTCTAATGCTTAGTGATTTTGAGCACTTTTTCATGTGTCTGTTGGCCATTTGTATATCTTTCTTTGAGAAATGCCTGTTTAGCTCCTTTGCCCATTTTTTTAATCAGGTTACTTTTTTATAACTGTTAAGTTGTTTGAATTCTTTGTATATTCTGGGTATTAATCCCTTGTTGGATGCATAGTTTGCAAATATTTTCTCCCATTCTGTAGGTTGTCTTTTTGCTCTGTTAATTGTTTCTTTTGCCATGCAGAAGCTTTGTAGTTTGATATAATCCCATTTGTTTCTTTTTTCTTTTGTTGCCTGTGCTTTTTTTGTGTGTGTGTGGTTTTTTACCAATTTCTCACTAACTTCCCTCCCCCTTTCCCACCTCTGGTGGCCTCAGTTCTATTCTCTCCTTTTGAAAGTTCAACAAATTACTGTGGTCGTTGTATCTTTATTTTTAAAAATTTATTATTATTATTTTTTAGTTTCCACTTATGAGTGAGGACATGTGGTATTTCTCTTTCTGTGGCTGGCTTAGTTTACTCAATGTAATTTTCTCTAAGTTCATCCATGTTGCTGAGAATGGCAGAAT